GTAGGTGGCCCAGGCTTTCGCGTTTCTGCCACCCATGCTGGGCTCCCGAATGCGCCCCTAGGGCTAGGGCACAGGTCTCTCGGGACCTCGCTCCCACGGGGCCCAGGGCACGTTGCTGGACGGGCAGAGCGCCACTTCTCACGGGGCCTCCCCGTTGGGTCCCGAGGACCCTCATCTTGTCCCCCTTGGGTGTTCCTACAGGGGACCCCGGTCTCCCCCTTGGGCTGCCTTCTCAGCCTCACCTTCCCTTAGCGGGTTCCTTCTCTGGGCCTGCAGGCCCTCAGGGACACCTGTCCGGTGTCTGCCCTGTGCCGGGCGGACCTGCGCCCACCCCGCCCTCCCCGCGGGCTCACGACTACGGCCTCCCCGTCCCCGCAGCTCAAGGCTCGGTGTGAGGAGTTGAAACTGGACTGGTCCACGCTGTCGCTGGAGAACCTGCTGAAGGAGAAGCAGGCCCTGAGGAGCCAGATCTCCGAGAAGCAGAGGCACTGCCTGGAGCTGCAGGTGGGGGCCCCTCTGGGCTTTGACGCATCACGAACGCGGGAAGTGCCCCCCGCCAGCCCCCCAAAACCACCCTGCTCCCGAGGACAGGATATGGGTTGTGTTGCTGCAGTGACGGCGGCCCTGATGCCCCATCTTGGCCCGCGGGGGGGGGGGGCGCCGGGCTTGGCGTCCGAGGGGCCCCACTTGCTCCCGGGGCGGCTCGGGTTCCATTAGAAACCTGGGATTCCCTCGGCGCCCCTACCCACCTGGGGGTGGGTGCCGAAGCGGCCCCCGGGGAGGGCAGTGCTTGCGCACCCCGCCGCAGAGCTTGCGCTGCTCGCTGAGGACGGTGACGTGTGCGTCCAGGTCAGCGGGGACACAGGGCGAGAAGGAAGGGGGAGCAGAGGGGCCCACGTGTCCTCACGTTCCTCGGCTGCTGGCTGACCGGGTGACCCCACGACCAGTTGTGCTCTCTGAAGGGTTGTGGCCCAGGCGTCCCCTCCTGCTGAGCCAGCAGCACGTGGCACAGAGAAGAGGCCTGCCGACCCTGTCGGCCGGGCCAGGCCCTGTTTCCACAGACACACCAGCAGGAGGAGCTGCTGGGCGCTGACCCTTCCGCGTAGTAAAGAACGAGGTGCTTTCCTTACGGGAAAAGAACAGAGAGGCCTCAGAGGGGGCGTCTCGTGTCCCCAGTGACCGAGAGGGAGCGCGGCGGGAGGGCTCCTCGCGGACGGAGCACCCGTAGCCTCCTTCACAGACGGGGCCGTCCCGTCCCCTTTCCCACAAGTGCGCGTCGGCAGAGCTGCTCTGGACGCCCCGAAGCCTCTCGACCCGTGTGGGGTGGCCGGCGGCGCTGGCTTCTCCGTCACCCACAAAGCCGGCCCGCGTCCTTCCCGCCTTCCCGGGCCCGTCCCTCGGGTGCCTTGCTGGGCGCGGCCCGGCCGGCCGGTCCCCAGGCCGGTGGCGGCGGCAGGCCTGACCCCCCTCCCCTTGCAGATCAGCATCGTGGAGCTGGAGAAGAGCCAGCGGCAGCAAGAGCTTCTGCAGCTCAAGTCCTGCGTGCCGCCCGACGACGCCCTGTCGGCGCACCTGCGCGGGAAAGGCGCCCTGGGCCGGGAGCCGGAGGCGGACCCCGGCCGGCTGCACCTCGACCTGGACTGCTCTAGGTTCTCCCTGCCGCACTTCAGCAGCGCCAGCCCGGAACTCTCCATGAACGGCCACGCGGCCAGCTACGAGCTCTGCGGTGCGCTGAGCCGGCCCCCGTCCAAGCAGAACACCCCCCAGTACCTGGCCTCCCCGCTGGACCAGGAGGTGGTGCCCTGCACCCCCAGCCACGGCAGCCGGCCAAGGCTCGAGAAGGTGTCTGGCCTGGCCTTGCCGGACTACACCAGGCTGTCCCCGGCCAAGCTGGTGCTGAGGCGGCACCTCAGCCAGGACCACGCGGCCGGCGGCAAGACGGCAGCTGGGGAGCTACACCCGCGGTGAGTCTGCGCGTGGCACGCGCCAGCCCTGCTCTGGTGCCCTGGGGCCACCTTGGGGTTCTTAGGGTGAGACCGCAGAGGTTCAGAAGAGATTCGGGGCGTTTGCTGGGCCCGGGATGCCAGCTCTGGGTGCAAAACCCCGGCTCTGGCGGCTCCCCGGAGAACGAACCAGAGACGCGTCTTCTTCCAGAGCCGAGCACGCCAAGGAGAACGGCCTTCCGTACCAGAGCCCGGGCATCGCCAACGGCATCAAGCTGAGCCCTCAGGACCCCCGGCCCTCATCGCCCGTGGCCTTACAGATGACAGGGGAGAGGGGCAGCGAGAAGGTGAGGGCGGGGCGTGGGCTGTGCGGGGCGCTCGGCAGGCATCCTGAGCCAGGCATCCTGGGCCACGCCAGGCTTCGGGGGGGCCGGGGGTGAGCCTGGAAACGGTGCTGAGCCCCTGTGGGAGGCTGTTGCCCGCAGGCTCGAGGAGGAGGGCAGGGCGGTGGTTTCGTTCGTGAGCGGAAGGCGGCAGGTGTGAGGGG